GTTAAAATACCAAGGTGGGGGAGAGGGTAGGGGACACTTGGCAAGGTTGGTAGGACCAGTACTATAACAATGTTTTATGAAAGTTTTGATCAAGTCTACACTGGCTCCAGTTGTTCAAAGGGTGGATAGTGCTATCCACCAGGCCCCGGTTGTTCAAACGTTGGATAGCGCTATCCACCAGATAAATCACTATCCAGCAGATAGTGTAATTGATTTCCGTAATACTTATTCACTGGATAGTGATTTATCCAGTGGATAGCGCTATCCAAGAAAAATAGTTATTAATAATAATTGAATAACCGGGGCCAGATAAAGCATTACCCATTGCGTAGTGCAATTAATTTTCCTCATACCTGTTCACTGCATAGTGATTTACCCGCTGGATAGCGCTATCCATCTTTTGAACAACCAGGACCAGGTCACCACAATTTCAAGAATAATCTCAGTTATGTTCAGCAATTTTTTTTTCTGGTCAGGGGGTCAATTAGTGCTTTCTAATAACTCTAAAATTATTTTTTAATGACTTTTAACGTACTTTAAGCAATTAAGAGCCGTGCTTTACTTTCATGAGCCAAAAATAGAAATTGCATCCCTCGCCCTGCCCCCATTGAAGCCTCTCGATCTTTACCTTATAGGGCATTTGAAATAACTGAATTTTTAACATTAAATTCTTCATCTTGTTTATAAAACGCTGTTGTTTTCAAGTCAAATTTTTCTTGATCAACAGAAGAGACAAAAATCATGATTCACGGCATAGCATATAAAACAAGTTTTGTACACGCATTGCACGTCAGATGATTCTAGAAAATTCATCTTCAACTTCTTTAAGCTTACTCAGTGACAAAATGTTTTCCAAAAACCAATTCCGCTGACTTTTTAAACACTTAAGAGTCAACATGACTAACTGGGTGAGTGAGTACCATCGCAATTGTAGCTTATTGTTTTGCTGCCAAAACAAACTTTAAGCGCGATTCAGCTCAAGTGGGACCCGAAGTGGTAGGTCACACACCTTGGCTTCAAAATGTTGGCTGACGAAGGAAATATGGATGTCCATTCAAGATTTTATAAACTAAATATCTTCACTGATTACATTTTAAAGAGGCAAAGAGGTACTACACTAGCCAGTCGCGTAAATTTTCATTGATTCGCTTGCACTGAAATGGTTTTCATCAAAAGCGTAAAGGTCGTGTACGTAAAATCCCGTGAGAAGAATTAGTATGAACAGTAAATTATACTCACCGGTGAAACACAACAATAATACGGAAAAATTAAGCAGCGTATGACACTGTACCATTTCTAGTTACTCCTGCGATCATCTGAGGAAACTTTCACGTCCTTTTTGTCGTTTATGTTCCCCTTCGTCATGCTCGAAGAACAATGGCTCATGCATCTCGTGACACCGGAGACCAAAATACATCAAACATAAACAAATCGGAAACATTGCGCAAGTGCGCTTTTTGTTTTAAAGTAATCCGCTGGAAAATAGACCCCAGTTTCTTGAGCAACAAGATGGCATGGTCGCCTGGTGGATAAAAAATCTTACTAGTGTGCAGGAGTATGTGCAGTGATGAATTAAGACTTTGGGCCAGCTTTTTAGCGAGGAAACATCTTCATCGAGAGTTTGAAGAAAAGAGTCCGAATCCTCCAATCTTCGATTCATGACCGAAGCTTTTTGACCGTCAAAATTTCCTAGATTGTATATACACTTCCCATAAAAATGCAGTGGGTGAGGTCGTTTTTAAGCGCCTTTATAAGGACAAGACGCCTTGTGGGGACTGATTTACAGGGAAATAAGTATTATGAAACTGTTAGGGAAGGTAAGAAACCCAAAAGAGAGATGATTGCTTTCATTGAGCATGCCCAGTATACCCCAGAGTTGATGCCAATTGAATGGGANAACTTTCACGTCCTTTTTGTCGTTTATGTTCCCCTTCGTCATGCTCGAAGAACAATGGCTCATGCATCTCGTGACACCGGAGACCAAAATACATCAAACATAAACAAATCGGAAACATTGCGCAAGTGCGCTTTTTGTTTTAAAGTAATCCGCTGGAAAATAAACCCCAGTTTCTTGAGCAACAAGATGGCATGGTCGCCTGGTGGATAAAAAATCTTACTAGTGTGCAGGAGTACGTGCAGTGATGAATTAAGACTTTGGGCCAGCTTTTTAGCGAGGAAACATCTTCATCGAGAGTTTGAAGAAAAGAGTCCGAATCCTCCAATCTTCGATTCATGACCGCAGCTTTTTGACCGTCAAAATTTCCTAGATTCTATATACACTTCCCATAAAAATGCAGTGGGTGAGGTCGTTTTTAAGCGCCTTTATAAGGACAAGACGTCTTGTGGGGACTGATTTACAGGGAAATAAGTATTATGAAACTGTTAGGGAAGGTAAGAAACCCAAAAGAGAGATGATTGCTTTCATTGAGCATGCCCAGTATACCCCAGAGTTGATGCCAATTGAATGGGAGGCTTGGATTAGGGGCAAGAGAGACGATCCTCCAACGCATGAGGAGTTACTCACAGAACAGAAGAGAATAAGGACTGTTCAAAATAGGGCAAAACAGTTAGAGGAAAAAGAGCGAGAACAACAGGCTTTAGAGCAACAGACACCACTGCTTGTATCGCAAGTAGGACATGCTTCAAAACCAGTTTATGAAAGTTTGGACAACAGAGAAGAGCCAACAAGCACTGGTACAATGTTCAAGCCAGGAGAGTGGAGCCCAGAGTCAACTGATTTTCCGAAAGGATATTCAGCTGGTAAAGAAGGCGAGGATACTTTTGAACCAGAATCCTGGGTACCACCAAGCAATCAAGAACCACAAAAGGGACAGCAGTGAACTGCTGTAATATCATAAAATCTAATCTTAAGTTTTCCTTTTAGTTGCTCGGGATTGGAGTTAGAGTTACAAAAAGGTCATAATTTCACAGGAAAAAATAACAATAATAAGTGCTCTTATACAGGAAGAAATAACAGATTCCCATTATTGGATATTTTAGGGTATTTATAGAATACCCATAAAAATCCCAAATTTGGCAAAGTGAGACAAGTCCCAAACAGGGAATTCCCAACCAAGTTTCCTTGTTGGGACCTGTCTCACTCTTCCAAATTTGGGATTTTTGTGGGTATTCTTTAAATACCCTAAAATATCCATAAATGGGAATCTGTTATTTTTTCCTGTATAAGAGCACTTATGACCCAGTGGAAAACGTTAATCGGAACTGGATAAGCAGTCGTAAGTGGGTTGAATCAACTTCTTCCAACTCTTCTCCTTATGGCTTTATCAATCTTGTAAAACCCACAATTGGCGACAAAATGAGTTGAGACACTTTGCCCAAAACTGGGCTTTTTTACAATTTACAAACTTCAAAAGGAGGAAATAAAGCTTTTCCTCCCCCATCCCATCCATGCAATGTTGTGCTGATGTTCGAGCTACCTATAGAAAACAACAAACACCCCAACTTTGAAAGGAGGGGACAGGGGAGGGCAAAGATTCTTTTGTTCTCTGAAGTTACCCTATTTGAGTACAATGTCTCAACAATTTTGACGCCGATTGCAGCTTACTGGAGTCTGTAAGAGAAGAGAAAGAGAGAATAAACTGATTACAACATGCTTGTTTCAGAGCATTGTGACTGGTCTTGGTTCTTCCTTTTCTGAAAGCAACTCTAACAATCTAGTTTTCCCTAGAACATGAGGGATTGAGTGATAATTAGAATCAGAATGCAGTTATGTTTTTAGCAGATCAATAACACTGCACTTCTCATTATGTCTCTGACTTTTGGACTGGATGTGTGGTAAATTGTGGACACCTATGAGTAAATATAGTGGGGGAAAGACAAAGTTCAAAACAGCAGGTGAAACTGGTCAAAATATGTCTATGAGAAATGAGCTGTTCCATTTCTTAAGGTTTTACCTTTTTTATTTGCTGACTTTTTTCCTGCTGCTTCAGACCTCCTCACTGTGTTCCATATTTGCTCCAGGTTCTCAAGGATAATTCTTAAAAAAAAAAATCAAAATTAGGTTTTTTTTGTTTAAAATGGCTTACTTTTTGTTAGAACATTTAACTGAGAAATATTATCGCAGGAATTATATGAGTGGACAGAATGCTATAAAATTCCATCCTGTTGGCTCAACTACGTTTGACATGCAAGTAACCAGAAGTGAAGTGGATAGACGTAATTCTAAACGCCTTTGATGCCATCTCAAATTTATCGACTCACCACATGTAAGAGATGAGTAAAAAAAAAATCCTCCAGACAACTTTTTTAAAAGGTGGTATCTCTCCCCTTAGAGTTATTCTTGAGTGAAGAAGATTTGGTGTGCAACAACAGCCACTAGAGATGGCTTTAGATTCCTGCCATGGGTTGACTATAGGGGGAGATTCCTGTACAACAATGTCTTGAAATAATAAAAAATATATTATCCTTGATTTTACCGGGACAATTTTGCCGCTGGTTTGGAGGCAAACTTCCAAAGAGACACTGTGACGTTAAGTAATGGTTCAGATAAAAAGATAACTCACAACTGACACTTACACTGCAGGTGAGAGAGAGTGCAGTGGTGGGTAAAGCTATTTTTTAAATATTTTTATTTCATAAACTACCCTTTTGTAGGTTTATGCATTCTATGTGTGACAATGAAAACATTCCTATGTGTGGAAAGCGTATTGACCATTTTCGAATCCCCCATAATACACTCCTTTTGCCCCCCAAATATTGCATATTCGAGTTATTGTCTTCAAAAATGCAGTACTCCCAGGATCATTTGAAAACAATGGTTTATGCGAAAATTTGGGGGGCAAACAGACTGTATTATAGGGGATTCGAAAATGAGAGAATTGTGGCTTAACAAAAGAAATTGTTACCCGTCTAACCCGGATCATTACTTAAAAAAGATAAATTTCTGTGGGACTTCCCTTTAAATCCACAAGTCCATTCCAATTTTTTACTATCCGTTGACGTTAACAACACCTTAGCAACCGGAATCAGGCTAATCCAAAATGGCGGTTCAACACCGCGGGTATTCCTTGACTGATTTGAGGTCGAAACCGAACGAAAAAATACAGCGACGGCGGCGAAGACAATCCATAAAGATCCAGAGAAACATCGATGATGACGTGCTTATGGCTTCAGCAATTGGGGACGTGACATGGCTACAACAAAGTCTCTACGACACGCGAAAGGCTTATTCAGTTTCCAAAGAACATGTAAGTGTTGATTACAAGTTCTCGAACGCCTGTTCCTTCTCTGTATAGCATTTCCACTAGAATAGCTCGGAAATTAACTCAAACTGCTTATCAATATAGTATATTATAAAGGAAAGGGATGGAGACTAGACAGTCATGTATGCATAAATACGTATGAAAGTTGCGGGTTCGCGGACTAAAGTTGCATTAAGGAGCGTCATTCGTTACAGGAGTCACTTGTGGCGTGTATCATTTTAGTTGTTGCAACTTACAAAGAAGGTATTTTCTGGAAGCGGTAGCGTTTTGTTAAGAATGTTTACTTATGTCCCCGGCTTATCCATTAGTCACCCGGATACTAACGCCAGTAACGGCACAAATTTCCCGGTCTCCCGTACGGGTCACTAAATATCCCGGATAAAATTTACAATATGAGTTTTTCTGTGCTAAAGTTTGGAACTTAGGACATTTGGTATGGTTTCCTCTTGACAAATCCGCCACAGTTTTCCAACTTGTCTTTACTCTTCTGAACCATAGACATGATGTCAAAATGTTCAAAACTCAACTGGACCCATGAGTCACAAGCAAGTTGTTTTGTAAATCGTTGAATATTTTGACTTTGTTCCCATGGTGGTTAAAAATATAGACCTTGAAAAATGTTTGCAATTTGTTTCCTTCAATAAGGTTGACAGTTTTGGATGTCCATTTCTGTTGAAGTTTCTTAGAAAATCACACACATAAATTAAGGGCAAGGAAAAACAAATTGTACCACAATGAGGTCATTTTCAAGGTGTATATACTATACCTGCCAACTTTTTCTGAGTCAAATGCGTGAGATTTCTGTCAAAAACGTCCTGGTGACTTACGCAGATTTCCGGCAATTTTTCCGAAAGACTTCCGAATGTTGCTGAAAATACCTGAAAATGTTCCGACCAACTTTGCGCACTTCCGAAGCTTAAATAAAAGGTAACATTTTTGGTGTGTTGTGATACATTTGGGACACATTAAGTCAACATAAAGCGCCTTTGTTGGAATATTTTTGTGGAAACTAAATTGAATTTTCACTATTAATCATGTATTAAAGAAATATTTAATTTGTGTTTTTTGATTCTCTTGTATTCTAAAATTAGGGTCTTGCCCCAGTGCACCTTGCAGCCCAGAATGGTCAGCTGGAGTGCCTTAAAGTTATGATCGAGAAATATAAAGTAGATGTGAATCATCAGAGTGCATCTGGATGGACACCCCTTCATCTAGCAATTAACAAGGTGACAAAAAAGAGGGGACTAAGATGTGTCCGATACCTCCTGGAAAAAGGCGCAGATCCTTCAGTGTAAGCTTTATGTTGTATACTGGAAAATAAGACATTAAGTACCGTAGTAAGTATGTTCTGATCCTGGGGGTGGGGGGTGGGGGGAGGTATTAAACAAATATTGATAATATGGGGAGAAGGCTCCACCCCGAGATCCAACCCCTTACCCTTTTATACACCATTTTTCACAAAAAAGGTTCCCCTTTCTTTAATAAACCTTCTATTGATAGATGGTAGGTACTCCTTTCACATACCTTGTTTTGAAATTAACATGCACTGTCTTTTAAATAGGAATCAATCACAAAAATAAAACACTTAAAGCCACAAAAATTCACCTGTTGGCCCTTTTGGGCCCAGCTTTTACAGACCGAAATGACAGATTTTCCTACCCCTTCATAAACCTGAAGGTACCCTTTTTAAGCATAGCTTCCCCATATGGAAGGGGGGGGGGGGGTCTGACTCGCTCCATGTGGCACCAAAAAGTGTTACATTGTACTTTAACATTCACCTCTCATCTTTTAGCTAGGTCTAAGGTGGTAAAGGTTACTTTAATGCCTTTGATGTTTTATTGTGAAAGGTGATAAGACTGTCTTTGCCTTAAGTCATTAACTAAAGGTAATACAACTTATATAATGCTTGGGCATAAGGTGGACCAAATGTCACCTTGATGAACATCATTGGTATTACACCTTTAAAATACACAATTAAGACTTCAACTAGCATCTACCTTGCTTCACTTGCTTTACAATGTACATTTTCCAGTTCATATATGATTCACCTTTGAGGCAAGTCAAAGGTTATCAAAGGCACTTTTTTCGTCTTGTTCATAATGGAAGGGGCTCATATGAGCCTTTGGAAACTGTAAGATAAAGAGTAACGGAATTTTAAAAACGTTCACTTTAGTAGAATTAGGTCACTGAAGTTCTAGAAAGTGAAAACTTCTAATTAGGGAACATCCTTTTACTCTAGTTTGTACCACAAATTATTTGCAGTCAAAGTGCCGGGAAAAGAATTTTTTTGCTTTTACTAGCCAAGAGAAAATTTGACTGTTAACTGTAAAGCTTCCTCTCCCCATTTGTGGACAAGGTCTCAAATTGGCTCCATCTACAGTATATACAGTCAGGGGCACCCAACATCAATTTTTGGAAAGTATCGGTTCGGAAGACGAATTGAGATCTAGAATTTTCGGAACGTTTGTTGTACCTACCTCTTCTAGGATATGCAAACTTCCAAAAAATGGCATAATTGCCCTTTTTTGACGGATTTTTATCCTTAAAAGGTCGCCTAGATTTTCGGGAGCCTTTTTTGTGGCTGAAATTTTCGAAAAGGAAAGTTTTAATCCCTATAATTTTAGGATCACTAGACTTTTAGCTAGGAAATCCTAACAGATGAAAAATTTTTAGGGGAAAAAAATATGCTCACATCCACCGTTTAACTACTAAAATACGTTTCACAATGCTATGTTTAAGTGGTTTTAAACTATATTCTCGTTGGGTGCCCCTGATGCAGTGTACATGTATTGTAGCTGTCTCTTTGGTGTCCCCCTGGAGAGGATACTCTGTGATTGGCAAGTATAAAAAGGATAGGTGCATGCCAGGAAGGTTCTAGAACCCTGACACTCCATTTAAAAGAAATAGAATTGAAAGTACATGTAGCACTTTTTAAAGGCCCAGGGTAAAACCGATTTTCTAAAGAACAAAGTTTGCTCGAGATAGATCTGTGCATGCTTATTCATAAACGAAAAGAATTCTACTAACTGTAAACATCGCGCGCCCATCGCGCGCTGAAATCTTCCTCCTCCTTCCTCTTTTAAAGCCTGTAACGCAGGCTATTTTTTTCAAGAAGTTAATACCCTTGCTTATTTATAGGCCAACACATGCAGGGATAACTCCGGTTCACCAAGCGGCGAGCGAGGGGCACGTAAAATGTCTCCAAGAACTCATTAAAAGCGGTGCCGCGATTGACACTGTTGACGGTAATGGACACACGCCCCTGTCAATAGCGCGTGTGTGGGGACACAGAGAGTGTGCGCGGATATTAGCCAATCAACAGTGGTACTTAGACAAACAGAAGGAATTGACTGAAAGACTACAAAAAGAGCAGGAAAGCAAGCAACTTGAGGAAGAAATGCACAAACTTAGCCTCATTCGAATGGCTGAAGGAAAACACGAAAATCAGCTGGCTTTTAAGCGGTGGATGGCAGAGAAACATTTCCCTGATATACCCACAATGTACGGACCCGTCCCCTCTGAGGAAAGAGAGGCGGCTGAAGAAATACGCGCTTCACAGTCGCTTCGTCCCACCCCTACCCCTTTAGTAGCCGAGTCGTCTTTTGTGGTTCGTTCAAACACAGAGTATGAGTCTTTTGATGGGGTACCTGCATTTGCTTCACGGAGATCAACTGATTACTACGATCATGACTCTGATAAAAAGCTCGAGTTGATTCCTCTAGAGAGAATATCTGCTTCTAAGAGACGGAAAGGGCAAAGGACAGAAGGCTTACGGCCAAATAGATCTCGAATTAAGAAAAATCCCTCGCCTATTTCTAGATGAATGCATCGTTCAGTTTTTTTAAGCCGCAAAATACAGAAGTTAGGGCGCTGGCGTAAAACAGGGTGGTGCAGTTTAAGAAACTCGGTTACCCAGAAATCCTTAATGTAAGCCTATTTTTATTTAAATTCATAATCTAGAATCGTTTCAGTGGCCAAAAGCTGTTCGGAATGGTTATTCCCCTCACAATTCATAGTTAAATATCAATACTATAAATTCTAATTTACGTATTTGCACGTACAGCTTGTTCAAGTTGAAAGTCACCGTAGGCTTTCGCAACTTCTGAGATCGTCTTGCACTTACGAGGAAATAGAAAATGTTGGAAGAAGCAAGTTTCTCCCGTAAAGAATTCGAAATTCAAATACTTTTCTCAAGCGTCCGATTACTAAATTCAGGTTTTACTAAAATAAATACCAGTTTTGTCAAACAGAAACGGATGGATGCGTTTGGAAGCAAGAGGGGTTCTCTCTTGGTGTCGATTAACTGATTCACATTGTACTGGCTAATAAAAATAAACTGAATATCAACTTATCTTTTGTAATCTCTACTAGGCTTTTCACTACAATTTTGTCTGATTAATCAGTGAATATAAAGAAATTACCTAGAAAGTCCGCAATAGGTTTTTCGGGATCCTAGATTTACCCAAATTTCAGGGGCACAGACTCTAGGGCACCCAACGAGCGTTTCCTCCTAGATACATTGAAAACACTTTTTAGGCCATCCAGACTACTTTTAGATCTCTAGAAACGCATTCTAAGGGGCGCTATAAAATTTTTATTTGTTCGGTCATCCTAGGGCAACTTGAGTCTTTTCGAAATTACAAGGGCTTCAGTATTATTTTCAGTCCTCTCCGGTTCCATCATATTTTTGAATCCAAAAATTTTAGGATTCCTTTTTATTATGAAAATAGCCTAACCTGGGGAGTGAAATGTGAAAAATTAAACTTCAGAAAATCTAAGGGATTTTATCGGAAAATTGTACACGAATGGAACAGTCATCCATCAATTTTTTGCCGTCCCCAAGTGATAGAAAATTCTAAGCAATATTTGCTTCTCCGAACAGATATGTTACAGAAAACGGTCGTTAGGTGCCCCTGAAATTTGAAGGCCGAGGGTCTGTGGTCCTGTTTGGATAATTCCGACAAACGACATGGCTTTGAAACAACAGGGAGTTTACGCAACGACGACGGCGACGGATGCGAAAAAGTCACTAAAAAAGGTGAATTTGCGCCGCCTCAAACTTTATCGCGCTTATTCCATCTCGTTTAATTCGTCAGTGAATGTTGGGAAAATTTTTTTGGAGTTGAATTCCAAAGAACTGCATCAAAGTTCAGGAAAAGAAAAAGAAAGTTGTTTTTCTTGTGTTCCCGTCCTCGACAAAATGTGAAAGTTGTAGTCGCGCAACGTCGGCAAAGAAATGTACAAAAAAGCGTGATGCACGTGCAAAGTTGTTGTTTTGTTAATCTAAATCTATGGATGTTTTGCCGTTTTCGTTGCCGTCGTCGTCGTCGCGTAAACTCCCTAGTGACATAGGACAGCAGAAATGGCCACAAACGACACAAAGATGGGTTGAAACTGCGACTGCTACAGAGAAAAGGACAAATACAATAGTAAAATACCGACAGCGATATGGCTTCCTCCTCACCACGCGAAACAACAGGTTTTGAAATTCAGACTAGGGATATAGTTACGTAACCCCTTAAGGAGGTCCTCTGGTTCTGGATTGAAAGAATGCTCGGGATGTGGGATGCCAAAAATAATCATCGGAATTACCGGATCAAGCGAAAATTGGGGTCGGGATGACGGGATTGAAGAACGCAATTGGGATTATCTATAGTCCAACTGGTGACTTTTGGGCTTAAAGGGTTGTAATATTAATGCAAAACAAGCAAGTGACGTTCACAAGGGTATAAACCGTCAAAAACGTCAAGAAAAACATACAATACTTTTGTGAAGGAAATCACTGTAACATTTTATTTATACATTATTACAAGTAGAGACAAACCTTTCAGCCTTCGTAGAAATCGTCCTATATGCATTTCTTCGAACAGCACAAATCCTTTAATTAAATTACAATTTCAATACATTAATTTTAAAACTTCATTTTCAGACCAAAGGACTCAGTAGGTACAAATTTTTTAAACGTGCCTTTAGGTTCGGATATATTAATAACTTATGTGTAATAACTGAGGTAATTGGAAATCGGGACTGCAAGTTATGGAAAACTATAATTGCAGAGAATCCCTCGCATCCTCTTTTGGGCTGTTGCCCCCGCGAAAAGACAGAGATCTTTGAGAGGTCGACGCGAAGGCATACTTTTATTTTACCTGCAGCCAAAACGGAACGTTTAAAAAGACCTTTTATTAACAGGTGTCTCTTTCAATTTGTCTACCGTAATTATTATTTTTTTAGATTTTAATCAGTTAATACAACCATATTTTGTAAAGCCACACGCACTTGTTTCTCTACGTGTTGTGAATAAAGGTTCTTCTTGTTCTTGTTCTTAATTATTATTACATTGTACTACAAGGTTCGTACTCTTTTGAGCTCTCAATTCCATGATTTAGTTTCATGACTTTTTCCATCACCTTAAGTTACGCTGTCGCTTTCGAAAAGCTACAAAACTATTCTTGTTTATGGGATTTTTTGGCATACCCACTTTAACAAACAGAGAATCTGGCCTAAACCAAAATGCGTGGCGTTCGCACTGTTTAATAACTGGTCTCAATTTTTCAGTCTTGCTTTGACAATTTCAGTGACTTATCTATGAAACACAGGATTAATTTTCCATGACTTTCCGTGACCTACAACTAAATTCCATGAATTTCCAGGTTTTCCATGACCTGTACGAACCCTGTACTATATGAGAATGTAAGATTAAATTGGATCGTTACAGTAAGCTAGGCCGAGCTCTCACGTCACAGTGAAACTCCGACCTTACCTCGCATCTTTGGGAAAAGAACGAGGGTTGCGTCGAGAAATTGTTACCTTTATTGCTTTGCTTGAGGTATCCCAGTTCTGACTAGAATACCGAATCGTAAGGTACTCAAGGAAAATATAAAAAAACATGATGAACAAACATGAACAATAAGTAGAAGAGCTAAAAGAGAGTAAGGAGAGAACTGAGAAAGAATTGATACTCTGACTTTAGCCTCAAATTTTTTAAATGGTGTCATAATCGGAGGACATAAATGAATCCATCCTCAGTTCTAATTCGTTTTGGGAAATTATATAAAGCAACATCTTAAGATAGACGGACCCGTTCAATTCATTACAAAACATTGTTAGCGGTCTTTTCAAGGACGTGAAAAAGGCATTAACCCAAAGCTCTTTGGTTCGTATTCAAGGAACCGTGGGCAGTTAAAAAACTAGCCTGCGAGCAAGCTCTTTTATTTGGGCGAGTTAAACGAGTCTCGCGAGAACGCGCGAGCGAGCGGCGAAGCCGCGAGGGGCAGAGGAGAGCTTGCTCGCAGGCTATTAAAAAACATGTTGGTTTACACAAACAACGTCAACTGGCATACCTTTTCGTCTTGCCCTTCGTGTTGTATTGCCGTTCTAGTATAGTAGATTATCAGTTGTATCTCACTATTTTCACCCCCTATCTCCGCGCCGTTAGATTGCAAAACAGTCCGTATTTTTGCGTATTCAAGTGCGTGCGTTATGTTACAGTAAAACGATTTTGAGAAAAAACTGACTGTTTTGCAGTCTACCGAGCCGTATAAAAAAATGAAAGACACTAGGGACGAATCAGCAAACGCTATGAACTGATGGGGTAACCGTGTTGACTTTGAAAAAAAAGAAAAAAAAATTAGTCGATTGTAGTATCCATGGCCAGTATGTAGCGACGAATTACCCCTTCTTGTTTTCCGCAGCTTGATATCCATTCAAATTTTATCAATTAGCGACTATTCTCAAACTCCTTAATAATTCATAAAGAAAATACAAATGAAATTAATGTTTAATGAGCGTTTGAAATCAGATGAAAAATGGCTTATTTTTGCATCCTTAATTTCTTCTTCTAAAATCATTTTGTTTGAGAAGTAATATCAAGCATTTGACGCAGTGTTTCATCTGGTGATGAAACACTGCGTCTCATGCTTGATATAATTACATCAAGGTCTGGGACAGCGTTATCATGCCTGTTTATAATTCTGAATATCATGAAAGACCACTCCGAAAGCAACGGTCTATTATTTTTGCTTAAATGTTAGAGGGGATGCTGATGGCTTATATGAAAGGCTGTGTTTCAACGTTACTGTCCAGTGTTGGAGGATTCTCGTCTCCGTTGGAGCTGCTAGCGTTGTCATTGCCAAGAACACAGTAATAATCATAATCCTCACAGTGGACGCTGATGTACAGTTCATCATCTGCTTCTAACATTCTCTCCAAATCGTTTCGCAAATCTGTAAAGCTTGGTCTGTCATCTGGATTGGCTGCCCAACAAGACATCATAATCTGGTACCTGTAAAGATCACAAATGGCAAAAAAATGTTTTACNTGGCTTATTTTTGCATCCTTAATTTCTTCTTCTAAAATCATTTTGTTTGAGAAGTAATATCAAGCATTTGACGCAGTGTTTCATCTGGTGATGAAACACTGCGTCTCATGCTTGATATAATTACATCAAGGTCTGGGACAGCGTTATCATGCCTGTTTATAATTCTGAATATCATGAAAGACCACTCCGAAAGCAACGGTCTATTATTTTTGCTTAAATGTTAGAGGGGATGCTGATGGCTTATATGAAAGGCTGTGTTTCAACGTTACTGTCCAGTGTTGGAGGATTCTCGTCTCCGTTGGAGCTGCTAGCGTTGTCATTGCCAAGAACACAGTAATAATCATAATCCTCACAGTGGACGCTGATGTACAGTTCATCATCTGCTTCTAACATTCTCTCCAAATCGTTTCGCAAATCTGTAAAGCTTGGTCTGTCATCTGGATTGGCTGCCCAACAAGACATCATAATCTGGTACCTGTAAAGATCACAAATGGCAAAAAAATGTTTTACGCACGCGCCGGTCTATACAAGGTCCCCCGTAGAGCTCACACGTTTGACTGCGCAATAGAGGAGGCTCGCACCCATTTTTCGAAGGTCTCATCCCTTCGTGTTTGATGCTCCACTGATAACTTTGGCTGTGAAGCACGAAAAAGTCACAAAGTGAAACAGCACATCTAACATTAACCTTAATTTAAGAGTATGTTTTGCTGACATCTCTTCCCCTATAGAAACCGAATAACAATGAGATGTCATCTACAAATTGGGCATTTTCGCGAAATCTAATATATCAAAGCAAAGCTCTCGTTACAGTGCGACTAGTCTACTGTAACTGAAGCCACTTAGACTAAGGTTTTTGAAATATAACGTTCTAAAAACAGATACTTTCATTCGCTTTGTGGCTGTTTCGTACATGCAATACAGCCAAAGGGATCATCAAACAGTACACGAAGGGGCGAGACCTTAAAAGTGGGTGCAAGGCCAATAGCGACCTCTAGATTGGAGCTACGATTACGAGTTTGCAAGCCGCTTATGTGTGTCTCATAGAATTCGATTCCATCACTTATAATGACACTAATATCCCAAACTGTGCTAGTCTGAGTAACAGGAAAGAGTAAATAGATCAAAAGATATAGTTCGAGGCTATTTTTTTGGCGTGATTATGCGGGTGTGACGATCCAATGTTGGGGCCTAGCTTAACAGAGTGTGCGGGTATTTTTTCAGTGCCTTTTTGTTTGGTACGCCGTTTTGATGAGTCACAATGGCGAAACAGCTGTGTGAACGCCACCCCGCTCTGTTTGGATCCACCGATGCCGTGTTCATGTCTTGCAAAGTTACCTTTTACGTAGTATGATCAGCTTTGCAGATTTTTGTTTAGTAAATATTTTATCCTTTTAACTGTTTAAAAATCTTTTGTATTACATCACATGATCGTAACAGCAAAAAAGCTTTTCTCCAAATTCAGAAATCTGTTCACTTACACTTGCTGGCTGCAGTTTTCAGGTTTCTCCATTCTGTAGCCGTTTCTCAGCAGCTTCTGGATATCTCTCCCAGACACACCAGGATATGGTGAGGTACCTGGTCAAAGTAGCAGTCTATAGTTAAAAAGTACGAATGCGTCTTCTTGGAGAAAATGGATCGCGCAAGTTCAGGATAATGCGAGATAATATTATTAAAAATATCTCAGTGTTGGGTGAAAATTTGCAGAGGGGTACTCCTAAAAAGTTAATGTTTAGTAGCCCAATTTTTTTCAGTAGATCGTGCCTTCATTCATCAAGGTTTGTATCGGTGTTAGACGAATAAAGGTTTGACAAAACGATCAACACAAGATCAAGTTGAACCATCAGAGCGGTTTAGTATCACTACAGAACTTACCAAGCGTGATAAGCTCCCACAACACGATTCCATATGACCACCTAAACAGGGGCAGACACTCAAGTATCAGTCTATATATCGATATATAACATTATAAAGATGCAGGATCCTGCCCATTCCCCGGACAGGTTGAACAAAGTGCGTCGAAGGTTTTCATTTTAACTTGGTATCCGATGCCTGATCTGTATAGTAAGATGATGACAGCGGAAAACGAATTTAAGACCTCTACTTCTCAGCGTCTTAGGTTTTTATGCTGTCCAACTGTGACCTTAAGTTCGTGTAATCTTCCACATATCACCGTGCTGGCTTCCGTATCCCCCGCCCTGATAAGAATTCAGGCAAATAAGCCATTACTTACACATCGCTTTCAATGGTATATATGTTATCCAACAGTGATTCCAAAGCCATCCATTTGATGGGCAATTTTCCAGCGCTTTGTGCCTTTTGGTACTCACAGCTCTCGTAGACGTCTCTCGATAAACCAAAGTCCGAGATCTTCACTAAATGGTCATCGCAAACAAGAATATTACGAGCTGCAAGGTCGCGATGAATGAACTTTCTTTGTGACAAATATTCCTAAAAAATTGAGAGAAAAACTTGCGCATGAGTCACTTTTAAGCTGACTCTATAATTACTTGACAAATATTGCTAGTAAAAATACTGTACGTATTCGCCATAGCTTGCTTAGTAGCCGTCCGGTTTGGCTCTAAATTAATGGTCAATTTTCTGTTATAGTCGGTAGTGATAAGTTTAGTGGGGTAGCGTGGCCGGTTAGTGGTTAGAGCGCTTGACTTGCAATTCGGAGGCCCTGAGTTTAGGTCTCGCTCTGACCACTAACTGGATTTGTTCACGATTAGTCCCGAGTTCAAATCCTCGGCCATGCTCTAAATAGCCAACTGGTATGCCTCCGGCCCGTTGGGATTCTTAACCCTGTTAAGTTTGAGGCATTAGTGCTATTTATAAATACTGCCGAGGGTAAACAACGGAATTACTTATTGTTTATATATTTAGTGAAATGCCTGAAGGAGCTAGAAGCGCCAAATGTACTTCCAAGAAACACTGAAAGCTGCATTTATATATTTTACAATTTACTTATCATGCTCAGACACGCTTGATTGGTGGATAATACAGGGTGCATGATACGTTACCATGCCAACAGCAATCTGTCTCGCGAATGAAAGCAAGTCTTTTTGAGTTAGTTCTTGTCTAGTGTCCTCATTGGAATTCTTCTCGCTGCTCTCATTTGTTGCTGAGGAACCTAAAAGAGAGGTTGGTTTCAATTAAGGGGCCTGGCTCTTGCTTTAACTTAAAAAACGATACGTATTGCAAAGTGACAAACGTCTTTAATGCAAAAATGAATGAAGGAGTCAGTTTTTAAAGGAACTACGGTGTTTCGTCGGTGGGGAGAGAAAAACAAAGATTTGGTTGTAACAATAGAGAATTACAACCTCTAAAGGTAACTTGGGTGAAAGTCACATATCCCGGTCAACGTCATTTGAGATTATTCTCTGGTTTCTCGTTGCTCCCACCCCAATCTCCTCGCAGTTTCACTACCCTCGCCCACCTTGGCTCGTTTGCGCGCCCAAGCAAAACCGTCATGGCGTGACGCAGGCTATGGGTCACATCGTTACTGTGAAAGGTTTGAACCCAGGAATCATTTCAAAAGTAGTTTGAGTTTGATCTTTCGGGTGAACGTAGTCCTGAATAGGACTGTTGTTGTTGACAGTGACTGACGTTTTAACAACCTGTGCGGTAGTCATCTTCAGAGTCAAGACTCTGAAGATGGCTACCTCACAGGTTGTCGAAACGTCAGTCACTGTCAACAACAACAGTCCTATTCAGGACTACGTTCACCCAGACGATCAAACTCAACCTACTTTTGGTCCCATTATTCTCTCTCAGTTGTCATGATAACCAGGCAGTTTGGCAACCGTAGGGAGATAGAAAAGCTGAGGGTTCGAATGCTAGCCTTGCGTCAGAGCTTTTTCAAGGGGGCTGGGAGTGGGGGTTAGCACTCGGAACTGCAATTTTTTTACCTCCCCACGATGGCCAACCCACCTTAGCAACTTGGTTGACATATACAAATTTTTGCACTTTTTAGAACAAATACCGTAAACAGCCGCTTAGAAGTCCCTTAACTTATAAGCCCCCCAGTTATGGGCGCATTGACCTGTAAAAAAAATATATCCGCTGAGAAGACCTCCCCGGATATCAGCTCCTTCTTACCTGTACTAGAATGAATTCGATTTTGAAGCTTAAAAAAGCGAGTAAATTCAAAAAGTGTTTTGCATGGTTTTGATCAGCAATGCTGTTCAGCTTGTTCTGAAAATCTTTTTTTAGTCTTTATTATAAGCCCGATTCAGATATAAGCCCCCTTTTTATAAGCCTTGCTTTAAAACCCCAAACGAAATTGTGTAAACCCAAGGGCTTAAAAGCAGAAGTTTACGGTTGCCTACGCAATCTCCATGATCTAGAGGTATAAAATTGCACTTAATTTGAAAAACTTCTCGATCTCAGAAGGGATTCCAACCTGGCGACTGTTGAGTTTTCTTTGAGAAAGCCTTCTCCTGCAGTTCCTGTGTCGTTATTGCGGTAAAATTAGCCATCCATGGGGTGCCGTCTTGCTCCGCTTCTGAGCTACCCCAGGGGTTAGCCCTTGGGTCAGCGTCAGTAACAACGATACAGATGTCATCTCCCTGGAGGCTATCACCCCCCTGACTTGAACTGCCTTTGCTACCTCTCCTTGAAAAAACTGGCGTTGCGTATGGAAAAAGATTCTGGGCAGGAAATGAAGGCGATGAGGAACCGGCTTTTCGAGGAAGTTTCAAGCTGGAGCGAAACTGTTGCTTCGGGGAAGTTTTGGGACTTGATCCTTGGCTCCAGCGACGATGATTGAGGTACTTCCTTTCAGGAGATGGTGTCTGCGACAATTGCAAGGTGGCAGGGCAGGTACAGCGACCACTACAGAAGCATTGACTACAAAAGAAAAGAAACTAAGGTATAATCAACTGTCTCTTAGGGGCCGACCATTTGACTTTTGAGGGGGTTATGTGTGATGCAGAAAAAAAATTTCTCCTGCAGACTGATCATGATTTGACAGGTGCAAAAATCGTGCAAGGAAATACCAGAAATAAAGAAACGTACGAAATAATACGAACTCCTCCTTGGAGATATTCAAAGCTCCCTGCCCAGTCTTCAGTCCTTTTAATTGACCCTCTCTGATAAGGCGGACACTCTCGCTAAAACGGACACCTAGAGTTGGTCTTGGCGTTGCTCAGGCACTAGAGAGCTTTAGGTTCTGAGACGAGGACGACTACTATTTCTCAATTCTGAATATTGCTCAACCGTGAACTAGCGTCATTTTAGCGGGAAAGCGTGAGATAGCCGTCGTCATTCTACTACGAGTTTTAGCGAGAATGTCGTAGTGGCGGGAACAAGTTATCAAATGTAAGAATTTTTATCTCCTTCTCGCACTCGGCTTTAGAATTTTCCATTGCTCTTCCCCCTGTAAGTGTAAGTAGCCACTAAAGACACTAGAGGCATGGTTTGATGTCTATGTTCGTTGCATGTAATACGTATAAACCAATAAGAGAATGCGATGTCCTTTCAGTAGTAACATAGAACTACAAATGTCATAACTTGAATACAATGAACACAGCGAGCCGACACAATCTGTTTGTGTAGGCGACTGTTATTACTATAAGGAACAGTCAACGGCGAACTCCAACTCTTTCAAAATCGCTCAAAGAAACCGCTTTTGGGCAAAAGGACGACTATATACCACAGGTAAGGTAACTCAACGTTTATTTATCATTGATTTATATACATAGTTAGCGATATATCGCTATAAGTGAGGCAAACGGTAAATCCAGAACATTTACTATAAAATACCAATCGACCACACAAACAGATTGTGCGGGCCCCCTTTGCAATGAATTACCTCCCAAAATTTAGATGTGTTACACAGGGAACCCGAACGCTGTATTAGCTAATAGAAAAATTAGATGTATTTAAGCTGTATTAGCTAATAAAATAAATCTTATTGTTTTATTAGCTAATACAGCGTAAACACAGCTAATTTTTCTATTAGCTAATACAGCGTTCGGGTTCCCTTCATGTGTTTGTCTTTGAAGATAACCTGATGCGTTGATTATCGTAAGCAACCATCTGGGTAAGCGACCACTAAAACTTCGCATTATCGCAAGTTTACGGGTGATGAATCGAAGTGATTAATACCTACCTACTATTATTCACCAGGCTGTGACTGCTTACGGCTACTCGAGGGTTTGAATCCGTGGTAGAAACTAAAAATAAGTAACACAAAATTTGAAGGCCTTTGATTGATAAAACTTAAAAAACTCTTACCGTGCGGTACTTTCCTCGTTATCTATTGTTTTACTGTCAGCTATTTCTGTGTATCAATTTCACACTTCTGCGCTTGAAAAGAGACATGAGGATTTGTAGCCTGCGTAGCATGGCGGTTTTGGCTGGGCGCGCTAAGCAATAAAGGCGGGTGAGGGCAGAGAAACCGCGAGGAGATTGGGGCGGGTATTTTTCTCGCGGCTTTGCCGCTCGTGCGCTCGGCTCGACAAAACCGCCATGCTACGTAGGCTAGAGGATTTGAGTTTGATTGAACATCAGTCTAGGCTTAGATTTAATTTTTAATGCGATTTTATTTGTTCCATCCAAAGGTTTGGGTGTTTACATGGTGGCACAATTCACACAGGTTTCCTCCCGTAGCTCTGCATTGCTTTATTTGATACAGTGGGGACAGAGACTGGTAAAATTCAATTATTCGCTACAAAGAGCTTTCGTTATATCGAGGTTTAACTAGAGAGGAGAATGTAGTCCGTTATACCGAGGACTTCATTATGTTGAGATTCTTTATATCAGGGTTCTACGGAACAACCGCGGTAGAAAATGCCATAACGGAACGAGCCATAGCGGTGCGAGTTCACCCAGGTTGTTGTAACGGAGCAAGAATTCTATTTCCGCCCGAAATCTCGCAGCAGTATCATGCAAACGAAGATTTACTCACCGTACGTCCCTTCAGTATTTTCGAAGAAGTAAGCTTCGTAGCCGTCGCTTTTTTGTACCTGTAGACAACTTCCTGAGAACGCTTGCTGAAAATAAGCAATACACATATTATTATTCATTTATTTTAAAACAAACTTTTCCACAGATGCTCGTACGTTCTGCTTCTAACATTCTCTCCAAATCGTTTCGCAAATCTGTAAAGCTTGGTCTGTCATCTGGATTGGCTGCCCAACAAGACATCATAATCTGGTACCTGTAAAGATCACAAATGGCAAAAAAATGTTTTACTCGAAAGCCTGTAGTTTCTGGCCTCCCTGACTGAGGATAAGATTTTATGCGAGCTTGTTCTTTGCGACGATGGAAAGGGTGGCTGCTATTTTCTATCTTCCAAACGTTTATTAATTTATTACCGGTACTACGGCAGGATAGCATTTTAAAGGAGGCTCGCGCCCATTTTTCGAAGGTCTCATCCCTTCGTGTTCGATAACTTTGGCTGTGACGTACGCACGAAAAAGCCACAAATCGAAAAAACAAATCTAACATTAATCTTAATTTAAGATGATGTTTTGCTGACATCTCTGCCTCTATAGCAACACAATAACAATGAGATGACATCTACAAATTGGGCATTTTCGCGAAATCTAATATATCAAAGCAAAGCTCTCGTTACAGTGCGACTACTGTAGCCGGGGCCACATAGACAAAGTGAATGATTTAATGATTTGAGGGTTTTTGAAATATAATGTTCTAAAAACACGAAGGGGCGAGACCTTGAAAAATGGGTGCGAGGCCAATAGCGACCTCTAGATTGGAACTACATGTACGAGTTCTGAAACCACATTTGTGTGTCTATATATAATTCGATTCCAGCACTTATCACACTAATGTCATCCCAAACTGTGCTAGTCCGAGTAACAGGAAAGAGTAAATAGATCGAAAGATATAGTTCGAGCCTATTTTTTTGGCGTGATTATGCGGGTATTGGGGCCTTTAACAGAGTGTGCGGGTATTTTTTCAGTATGCCTTTTTGTTTGGTACGCCGTCAGGCTGATGAGCCACAATGGCGAAACAGCTGTGTCAACGTCACCCCGGTCTGTTTGGATCCATCGATGCCGTGTTCATGTCTTGCAAAGTTACATTTTACATAGTATGATCAGCTTTGCAGATTTATTTTTGTTAACTTTTTTATCCTTTTAACTGTGTAAAAACCTTTTGTATTACATCACATGATCGTAATAGCAAAAAGCTTTTCTCCAAATTCAGAAATCTGTTCACTTACACTTGCTGGCTGCAGTTTTCAGGTTTCTCCATTCTGTAGCCATTTCTCAGCAGCTTCTGGATATCTCTCCCAGACACACCAGGATATGGCGAGGTACCTGGTCAAAGTAGCAGTCTACAGTTAACAAGTACGAACGCGTCTTCTCGAAGAAAATGGATCGTGCATGTTCAGGACAGTGCGAGATAATATTTATTTATTAAACATGAGGAGCCGCGTAAAGTCCCTTTTCTAATTATCTTGAGTGACGGTTGCTATGCTCAATTTCCTGTTAGAATTTTACCTCCGACCTCGTGCATGTTAGCAGGGGTCAGATTAGCTGTCATCGGTAGTGATCTTCACAGAGGCGATGAAACAATTCTAAATTTCGCAACTGTCTGTAAAACAATACAAGGTAGGGAAAATACATGTAAATAAAGTCGAGCGCGGTCTTTTCAACTATTCCCCGGATCGGGTCAGCCCGATCAAGCCATCTTGTATGGAGTATATGTGGGTTACTTTTTGCCATTTCCTGGTCGAGAATTTCTGTGTTGATTCGCGATCAAAATCACTTCCCTTAGAAGCGATTGGTATTTCAAGAACATTTAAACAGATCGGACAGGTTAGGAGAATTCAAGCTTCTCTTCTGAAAACCGGAGATGGCCAGCCTTCCTTCTTCACATTGGTTCAAATGCGAGGCCAATTCAGCCTTAGATCAGTAGGTTTACCTTGCGACACATTAATTCTGGCTTGTATAATGCCTTGATTAATCCTAAGACTCCTTGAAGGTAAGCACAGTGTTCGATTTTTTTCCTTTAATTTATTTATTTCTGCTTCGAACATATCCGCGCCAAAACCTCCTAAATCCCCGCCAAATTTAATGTAGCGCTCCCGATCGTACAGCTCGTGTTTAGGAAGAAACAGGCTCAGCACAACTTCCACTGGAGGAAATTTTGGGTACAAAAAAAGTACCCTAATAAAGAAGTCGAAAAGCTCTATTAATTTCGTGCGACATTTTCTTGATAAACAAAGGAATGTGTTGAAAATTATAGACGTCCGTGTTTTATAATACACATACACACGTAGTGGCCAAACTGCTATATCTCTGATCTTTTTTCAACTGCTTTGCTTGTTGCCGATGTTTAAATGCTTCATCATGATCCAGTGCGATTTATGGTTGTCACTTCATGCTCAGATCTTTGTTTCAATTAATGAGAAAATTATAAAACAGTTAAAACACTCTTTGCACAACAATAAGGCCTATTGCGTTGTTGCATGCGTTCTCAACACAGCCGGACGGAGCCCTGCCTATGAAAATAATCGTTTTCCTAGTATCGAATAGGCGGATATGACTCCCACTGGTTTGTGCTACAAAGCCATTAATAAGGGCTATTCCATGCAAGTATAAACCTCATAAAAGCTTTTTATTTTGATCAAAAACGAAATGAAACGCGTTAAAAATATCAGACGCTCGTGTTACCCATACCCCTACCGACCTACCTAAGGTACTTCACAGAGAGGGGGTTGAGTGTTAAATTTGCTCGTTATTTGTAAGGCCCTAAATCTAAGTAGCTTTCTTTTTCTTTTAAAAATTTTTACGGAGGAATCGAAATGAGGTTTGGTTGATTGGTTGTGTCCATCGCGGTTCACCCCTATTTGTTTGTTTGTTTGTTTTTTTTCAAATAAAATACGACTGCGCAAACGGTCTCTATTATTTTTCACGAGCAGAGAGCTTTGATATAATTCACCGAAAACAAATTCATGAACATGGTTCAGGGTATTCTGTACGTGCTTTTATGTTGGGTGTGTCGCCTGATTAAAAGCGAGCGATCGGGTGAGTCGCCTTCGCTTAGTGCAAGAAGACTTTGTAAAACGTGTATATTAAATGAATCTTTCTGTAAAAAAAACGAGGCCTTAGGAAAGTTTATAAGGTAAAATAGTCTTGGAAAACGGTTTGCCAAATAAATTTTTTTCTTTTGTTTGGGACTTGCTAAGATTGTATTGAGTCAACTAGACGCTTAGAATTCGTAATTGAACTTATTCTTTGGGTGATTCAAAACAAAGCTAATTAAACAACGACCAAAGTTCCGTCTGCACGTGCTCTTCTGGGTGAGTCGCCTGAAAAAGCAAGCGATCGGGTGTGTCGCCTTCGCTTAGTGCAAGGGAACTTGGTTGGTTATGGCTCGTGAAAAATAATAGAGACCGTTCGTGCAATGGTATTTTATTAAAAAACAAATAGGGGGAACCGCGATGGACGCAACCAATCAACCAAAATTCATTTCGATTCCCCCGTAAAATTTTTTTAAAAGAAAAAGAAAGCTACTTAGATTTAGAAATATAAATTTCGGGGGAGCAGAATTAAAAGCGGGACTATTCCCTTTTTTGAGAAAAGGCCGGCGAAGTCTCCTATTTAAATTCTTCTCTCCAGAGAAAGCTACTGTAAAAACTATTTGAATTTATAGTTAATGTAAATTCTATTACATTTAAATCGCTGCACTTCGTTCACCTTCGGTAAATAAATGCATATTGATTCTGAGGTATCCCCTGTTTGTTGCAAAACTCCTCTACACCGCCACAAGTTTTCCAACTGACGCACTGTTTTGAAGCGATTTTCATTCTATCAGGTTGTATTTTTTAGTTGTGTTCGTCTCATCAGCTTTTTAGTAGTGTGTGGTAAAATGAGCGGTTGAAAGATATGTCGGAAAAAGCTTCACAGGAGGCCACGAAAGGAGATTCGCATTTCAGCTCAAGTATAGTTTCAAGCTGTCAACGGTCTATGCTTGGCTGAAATTAAACAATGGCCTTCTGGTCAGATGGGGGACAAATTTTCCCCCATATTGCGGCTCGCCATGACGTCTCAGTGTTAGGTGAAAATTTGCAGAAGGGTTCTCTTAAAAAGTTACCGTTTAGTTGCGCAAAATTTTTTTTTTGACATGACGTTACTAAAATTCAGATTAAAAAACTATCTATCCTACCGAGATTTTACTTTCAAGATGCATTAGAGCAGCTGAAAACTAGTTTTCATACAAATTTTCTCTTCAAAAGGGTTTTTGGTTTTGTGATAGAGTACGTTTGAATTTCTAAGCTTTTGCGTGACGCGGCATTTACATGATGGCCAAGCGAGCTGTCATATAGGTCAAAAAAGTGACTTATTTCAGGAAATTTTACTATCTAAACTGTTCATGTATTAGAAAAAGTATTACTTTAATGTGTATGAGTTTCTAGCAGAATAAATTCACGCTTTTGTGGCAAAACTCGGTAACAGATGTTTCTGTTGGTTTCCGTCCACCATGTTGGAGCTCATCCAGGTGAGCACCAGCATGGCGTCTCCATACAAATCTCTATAAGTTTGGGTAAAAGATTTCTTCGGATATCTCGAATAGGAAATATTCCTCTGACCTGGATCTTGGCGAGGGTCTTTGTATATGTACCTCCTTTCACTTCCTAGATTCTGGACTTTATCTATTGAACGGTTTTGATTTTGATTTTGATCTATTTTGAATGGCGTGACACTGAAAACCAGCATAATATATATTTTTTCGGTAGACCTTGGATGCATTCATCAAGGTTTGTAGAGGTGTTCAGAGAGGCATAAATGATTGAAAACTCAATCAACATAAGACCAAGTTGAACCATCAGAGCGGTTCAGTATCACTGCAGAACTTACCAAGAGTGATAAGCTCCCACAGCACGATTCCATATGACCACCTAAAGTGTGGCAGACATGCAAGTATCAGTCTATATATCGACATATAACTTTATAGCGGAGCTCCACGCGCGGCGCGAAGCGCCCCGCGTGGGCGGAGTCCCATAGCTAAGGAAATGTGGTAATCTACCCATCCGAGAAAATTTGGTAATCATGTGACCGTACACCGAGCGAGCGACCGTCTGTCCGCACCACAGGCATACCAATGTAAAATAACTCAATCAACAGGTATGGCAACCCAAATGTAACCCAAGGTTGTATTTGGAAGGAAATCACATGACCGCCCGGACTTTTTGAAAGAAAAAACAACGACAAAGTCGTGTCTTTTTCGGCGTTGTTTTTTATGTTTACCCTAACGTGGGCAACAGGGAAAGAACTAGAGCGAGTTATTGAAACTGGCAAAGGAGACGAATTTCGTAGGAAGAAAAACATGGAAATTCAAAGCGGCGGTGAGAAAATGAGAAATGGTAGCGGCCAGCAAGGTGAAAATGAGCGGCAGTGAAAGATAAAAGCGAACATGAACACAGGAAATAAAATATTGGGTAAGCACATACGACAATTCCTTCATAAAAATAATGCGTAACTAGGAAGTTTGACGGTTTAGTCGTACAAAATAGCGTTGTAGTCGTGCAAAACAATGGCAAGGGAAAGACAAAAAGCGTGCTGTACGTGCAAATTTGTTTTTGCTAATTAGAAGAAAAAGTGTGCTGCACGTGCAATTTGTTTTTTTGCTAATTAGATCTATTAGTCTTGAAGTCATTTTCATTGTTGTCCCCGTTTAACATTACACGATTTAATTTTTTTTGTTTACACGTATTATTAACCAGAGCTTCGCTTTTAGCCCTGACTAAATTTATATATTAAAGTTGCAGAACCCTGCCCATTCCCCGAGCAGATATGAAGAAAGTGCATCGAAGGTTTTTATTTGAACTTGCTATCCGATGCCTGCATGGTCTGTATCTTTAAGATCATGACAGCAGAAAACGAATTTAAGACCTCTACTTCTTCTCAGTGTCTAAGTTTTTTATGCTGTCCAACTGTGACCTTAAATTCGGATGATCAGCTACATATCACCGTGAAGGTTTTCGTGTCCCCCGCACTGATAAGAATTCAGGCAAATCTAATAAAACTGGAAAATTCAAGTACGGCAAATTCATGGGGAAACCAAAATACTTGATCCCTCAAGATCTCGGTTTTGTCACTTTAGATACACCTTTTCTACTAGCGGGTGCGGATATAAGTGAACATACTCTTGTCGCCTATTTATACAAAAGGTAACCATGATTTTCTAACGTTCTCTATGTTCTACCCAGTAGTCTAGCCGTTTCGTTTGTGTCAGAGGCAATCTAT